AAAAATATATCCGTAACATTTATAAAATTATATATAGACATATATGTATATGTATATGTATATATGTATGTATATGTGTATGTGTATGTATATATATGTGTATGCATATATATGTATATGTAAATTTTACATATTAAAATGGTATTAAAGTTAATTTATTATGCATATAGTTTTTACAATGTGGGTATAATGTGTAGGATTGGTAAGATAATAAATTTATCGTGGTACGATATTTTATAAGCTTTGGTGCAAATATTTTGACAAACCTATGATTCTATATATCTGTTTTGCCTTACTGTAACTATTTCTAAATGTTGATTCCTAAATGTGGTTTGCACGATATAAAAAACAAATTTGTATTATAAGGTTTTGTTCCTAGAATATATAAATTATTATCAGTTTTGTTCTTATAATATATAAATTTATTATCTTGATTTTTAGTGATATTAAGGACGCAGACGATAGTATTATCCTTTAATATAACGCAGTTATTTTTATTATTGTTTAAATAAAATAAAACAATTTAAATAAAAGAAATCTAAATAAAATATTTTATATTCTTCTATATATGTAATCACGTTCATGACTCAATGGACCATTTTTATGATNTCTCTCAAGAAATCTTTTGTTACGCACTTCGGAGCAGTTAATACAAAAATTTAAGTCATGAAGTTTTTGATCGGTCTGTTGAAGTGGTTTATCTCCTTTTTGGATTAATTTTTTTTAATTAAGTTATCAATGTAGTTTTAGTAAGAACGGCTCCAAGTTTTTAAATTATTTCTAAAGTGGAAAATATAGGCCGATTGGAGTCTAAACACGGTTGTTAATGTTTCAGATAGTTATGAATTTATTATTAAAATGTTATAGACGTTTTGACTATCATTTCTGATATCAAAATTTATTATTGTATAGATATATTGAACAGAACCGGAACTACGGTCAAAACGTCTGTAACATTTTAATAATAAAGTCATAACTTTCTGACACATTAACAATTATGTTTAAACTCCAATTGGCCTATATTTTCCACCTTAAAAATAATTTAATATTAAATTAATCTATAACCTTATAATATTACAGTAATACTATTTTCTTGATATATCACCGCAACATTGTAACGGAGCCGCCGTGTTACGCGCGGCTTGCCCGGCCTTCCGCCTGCCGGACAGCTCGGTCAGACCAGGATTCGAGTGAGGGGAAGGAAGAGATTGCGACACGTTCGGTTTTGTGCTGTAAACTCAATACTAATATATTCTTAAACTAATTATGTACAATGTCTTAGCGACATGGGCTCGGAG